CCCATCATCATATATAAATATATTTACATATGTACATGCCTGTATTTAGACCTCTATAAAGGTCCTTTGCCTCCTAGTTCTTGCTCTATTTCCTTTGACATTCCTCTTGTCCCACTATAATGCTCAGCCTTCATTTAGGTTTCAATAATTTCTCTCTGTTACACTGCCCTTGATAAAGCCCTACCAGGCCTCCTACACCCTCCTCACAACCGATTTTGGATCACTTGTTGTTCCCTTGTCCCTGGGTTTGTTAACACCCACTTCCTTTCCCCCACCTCCCCCTCTCTCGTGTCCCCCTGGCACCGTCGGTCCACCTGTTTTCTCTTCCAGATTGTTTATCCAGCCTATCTTATTTAGATAGACCTGCAGAGATAATAATATGCACCAAAGCTAGACAGAGCAAAACAAAGCAACAAAACACAACAAAAAACCAATGGCAAAGTGTCTGAGGTCTTAAAAGCTTGAAGGTAAACAAGTGCTATCTAGCTGAGAAGCAACCAAGCCCACATGGACCAAGCACACCAGCCTGTGTGATCAAGAGGTGTCAAAGGGTTCAGGTTTCAGGCATCAAAGAAGGAAAAATCATATCATTGTGTGTTCACCTTCCTAATATGATCATAGAAGACAAATGGGTGCATAAGAAAATGTGGTGAAGAAAGCTGATGGTGCCCGGCTATCAAAAGATATAGCGTCTGGGGTCTTAAAGGCTTGAAGATAAAAAGCGGCCTTCTAGCTGAGAAGCAACAAAGCCCACCTGGAAGAAACACACCAGAATGTGTGATCACGCGGTGTCGAAGGGACCAGGTATCAGGGATCAAGGGAAAAAAAATCATATTGTGAATGAGGGGGAGTGCGGATTGGGGACCCAAAGACCATCTGTGGGCAACTGGACATCACCTTACAGAAGGGTCTTGGGGAAGAGATGAGCCAGTCAGGGTGCAGCGTAGCAACGATGAAACATACAACTTTCCTTTAGTTCTTAAATGATCTCCCCTCACCCCCCCCACCCCCGCCCCATCATGATCCCAATTCTACCTTACAAATCTGGCTGGACCAGAGTATGTACAGTGGTACAGAAAGGAACTGGAAACAGGGAATCCAGGACAGATGAACCCCTCAGGACCAGTGGCAAGAGTGGTGATACCAGGAGGGTGGAGCAAAGGTGGGGTAAGAGGGGAGAACCAATTACAAGGCTCTACAAATGGCTTCCTCTCTGGGGGATGGACAACAGAAAAGTTGGTGAAGGGAGACATCGGGCAGTTTAAGATAAGACAAAATAATAATTTATAAATTATCAAGGGTTCATGAGGGAGGGGAGAGCGGGAAAGTAGGGGGGGAAATGAGGAGCTGATACCAAGGGCTCAAGTAGAAAGCAAATGTTTTGAGAATGATGGCAACAGATGTACAGATGTGCTTGACACAATGGATGTATGTACAGATTGTGATAAGCATTGTACAGATGTGCTTGGCACAATGGATGTATGTACAGATTGTGGTAAGCATGGTACAAGACCCCAATAAAATGATTTAAAAAAACCATCAATGACAAAAAAATAAAAGAAAAGCCTATAAATACTTCAAGGTCTGTTTGTTGACCTTTAGGGGTATTTTCCAGTTGAGTCTGATGGCTTCAGTCTACTTTTGGTATTCCCTCGGGACTTCCTTGCTCTGTTTCCCTTGCTGTTCTGTTGTATGTCCTTAGTGTTTTGCCAAGTCAGATCAGGGGCCATTTCCACAGTGTGTCTCCAGTGTTGTCCCCCATAGGGCCATGGGTCAGTCGTGTTGCGGGCCATATGGTCCTCTCTGTGCATTGGCTGCTCTGAGCAGGGATATCGTCCTCAAGGCTTGGTGGGCCAGGATGTGCTCCACTCTCTCTTCCTTCCCCTTCTTTTGCTCCCGTGTGCTCTGATCAGACCTGTCCTTCTCCCTGAGCTGTAGCTTCAGTGCTGTCCTCTAAAGTCAACTCTTTTGGGGGAGGCTGTCCACGTCCACTACTTGTTCTTAAGTGAGGCTCAAGTGTATGAAGATAGACTTCTACAATCGCACTGGCACGTGGTGAGACCTGAGCAGCAAGGTGATCATTTAAGTCAGTGCTGTGCTTTTTCCGGACTGTTCTATGAGCCGGAGTGGGCCCTGGGGAGACCGACTGCCACCCTACTCTTCTCCTGCCTCCTGCCTTCTTCCCTGGCAGGTGTACCCCGAGTCCCATGGAGAGAGGTCTTAGTGTTGCACTCA